TTCTATTTCACTGATTTCAGCTCTTATTTTTATTATTTCTCTCCTTCTATTTGTTTTGGGATTTGCTTGTTCTTGTTTTTCTAGGAGTTTGAGATGTAGCATTAGGTTACTGTTGAGATCTTTCAGTCTTTTTAATATATGCACTCATGGCTATAAACATTCCTCTCTGGACTGCCTTTGCTGTGTCCCATAGATTCCGGTAGGTTGTGCATTCATTTTCATTGACTTCCAGGATGTTTTTAATTTCCTCTTTTATTTCCTCAATGACCCAGTGTATGAACAATTTTCTAATGAAAATGTACTCTGTGGGGAAAGGCACTCTGCTGAGATGATCAACAGAATATGTGGTAAAGAGTACATAGTCTTGGGAATTCATTATGGGAAAAAAAATATTTACTGACAATCAATCAGCAGAGCAATCATCTCTATAGAGCAGAGACAGTAGCCTAACTGAAATAGGATAGGGGAGAGAACACTGCAAAGTCAAACAGAACTGTCATGGTGCCCTAGAACCTTTCCACCAAATCAATCTGGAGTTTCCCTAAATATACTATGCTCTCAGGCCTTGCTTCCCTTACACAGGTTCTTCCTCTCAAATGGAACATTATCCTCATCTTTTTTTTTATTCATATGTGCATACAATGCTGCTTGGGTCATTTATCCTCATCTTAAGGTGAACCAAACATTTCCCTTCTAGAAATCCTTACTGAACACTCTCTTCTGCAGCTATCATAGTTACTCCTGCCTCATTACCATGAGTGATGATATGTTTCCTAGTTCTTCTTGTCCCTGACACTATGATCTCTTTGAAGGTAGGAGCTGAGTTTAATATCACCAGCACTCAGTCACAGATGGTCAATATATGTTTGATGAAAGACCAATTTTATGGCTGGGTGAGGTGGGACACATTTGTAATCCCATTTCTCAGGAGGCAGAGACAGGTGGATCACAAGTTTGAGGCCAACCTGGACTATATGCTGAGTTTAAGGCCATCATGGGCTATATAGTGAGACCCTGACTCAAAAAAAAAAAAAAACCACTGGGGATGTAGCTCAGTGGTAGAGTGCTTGCGAAGTGCAAGGCCCTGGAATCAAGCCCTAGCACTACAAAAAGAAAATAACTTTAATAATCATAATAGCCACTATAAAGGGATTACTAGGTATCAGACAGTATTCTAGCACTTCATATTTATATCATATAATTCCCAGAGCAACCCAGTAAGTTATGGACTATTAATTTCACAAATAAGAAAACTGAATCACAGAGCAGCTCCAGGTTCAGTAAGTGGTAAAGCCAGACCTGGATCTTGGAAATCTTGACTAGTCTACCTACACTGTTGTGTGACAATGTCAGGTGCCAGCAGAGTGAATTCTGCCTCCTCATGAAACATTTCTGCCACCTAACCCCAGATCAGTCATTTACACTCTACCCTTAAAGCTTCTTCTTAAAGACAGAGTCTGCATTTTATAACTGTTTTATCAACAAAACAGGTTTAAAAAATAATTTTTTAATGCGAGGTCCACTTGCAAAATTAACCAGTTATCAAGGTCTAAGGCTGATGAAGTTAGAGAAATGATAAAAGTGAAGAACTACATTTTTAAATGCTCATGCACTATATCCTGTAACTGGATAGTAACCACCAGAGACCTCAAGTCAACCAAACTAAATTGGTCACCTCCCCCTCCAACCAGGTAAAGCAGTAAGACAAAATGAAGACTGGTCATAACTGCTTCATACCTTCACATGCTCAAAAAAAGAGGACACTAAATTACTTCTACTATTCAATAGACTGGCAGATCATTTAACTCAAAGCATCAACGAGAACTGGGGATTTCCCTTAAGAAAAAATGAGGGGAGGGGACTACTTGGGATACTTCTTCAAACAAGACTCAAAGCAAAAATTAAGAAGAACTTTTACCTCTTGTAAGGGCCCAGGAGGGACTGCGGTCTGCACCACATCGTGCCTCAGTTTTCTCAAGTGAAGAAGCTTCTCTCTGTAATCACTCACAGTTGCTGGAACAAGTTCTGCCTGGCGTAGGATAGCAAAGGTGGACTGCCGCTCTGTCAGCCTATCACCCTGAACAGCCAAACAAAACCCAGGAGGCAGGTCAGTATTGTGGTTTTCCAAAGAGACCATTAAACATGGTTAAAGGTCTAAGAAAGGAAAAACTGCACCCAACCTAATGGGAGGCTGAGACAGGAAGGATCAAGGTTCCAGGTCAGTCAGGATAAAAAAAAAAAAAATTGTGAGATGCCCCCCCACCTCAATGGAAAAAGCTGAGTGTGGTGTAACATGCCTGTCATCCCAGCCACAGTGGGAAGTTTAAATAGGAGGATCACAGGCCAGGCCAATGGGCAAAGAGGGAGACCCTATCTCAAAAATAACCAGAGCAAAAAGGGCTGGAGGTGTGACTCAAGCAGTAGAGTGTTTGCCTTGCAAAGGGAAAAAAGTGGATCAGGAATGTAAAACAGGTCATGTTAAGGGAAGGACCATAGTGGTAGGGGAGGGTGAATGAAGGTGAATATGGTTGATGTACTTTCTTTACATGTATGAACATGGAACACTGAAACCTGCTGAAGTTATTTTAAGAGGAATGGCAAGGAGGGAGAATAATGGAGGGGATGAACCAAACTGGGGTATAATATATATTGCTTTTTTCTTGAATATATTAATACTTTTAAGTTAAGTAAATTTTTTTTACGTAAATTCATTTTTCCTCATGCTATTTATTTTTTGGTAGATAACTCAGGTTTAGTGTTCAGCACAGAAATGAAAAGTAAGCAAAAGTAATTATCAAAAGGATTCACGATTGGCAATTGAAATAAAAAAATGAATATTTGCTTTCACCATACAAATTCTACTTCTAGTAATTCACTCTGTGGAAATAATTCCCTTCATGAAGTTATCTATGCAAGACGGTTCACTGCAAGATGTGGCAGGAAATGAGGAAATGATAAAAAACCTACCTGACTACCCATCAACAGGGAACTCACTAAGGTATTTTAAACTGTGGAATATTAGTCAAACTTCAAAAGGAATGAGGTGAACCTAGAGCTGCTGATACAGAAAAGTCCCATAACAACATCTGTTCAAATTGTGTATGTATGGTCCCCCAAATTTGAAAGAATATTCACTAATTATCTGTAGATTTTTGATGGTAGCCTTGTTGGTAAGCAGGGAATAAGAAGTCAAAAAATCAGTTTTTATATTTATGTGCTAAATTTCTGCAAAGATATGTTTTAGAAATTTAAAAAATATACAGGGGGCGGGGGAAGGGGGAGAAATGACCCAAACATTGTATGCACATAAAAAGAAATAAAAAAATAATAAATATAAAATTGTATTTTAAAATTCTATTCACTGAAACAGTTAAAATACCTCCATCGATTCTGGAAGCCAAATGTCAAAATGGTTTAGGATCCTTATTGTCAAAAGCCGAATCTAAAAAAAGTAAAGGCATATTTCAAATTACAAAGTTTAAATCAAGGAAGAAACTGGATTATAGTCAGTGAGATCTAAGTTTCACAGAACTAAGAAAAAGATATCAATTGAATAAAGTAAAAAATACCTATTCTATTTCTTAGTTCATATCTAACACCAACCAATTCAAGTAGTATGTGGGCTAATGATCAGATGAGACTGAGAGGATAAGGCTGTTATCTCTTTCAACTACGAACTGTCTGCATCTCTGTAAAAAAGGCAAGGAGCTGATTAGGCTTACAGGTCAGTTGAAATCAGTGATTTCATATTTCTCAGTAAATTGTTCAGGTCTACACACCTCAATGAGTAGCAGAATCATCTACAAGGCTTTAAAAAAAAACAATGTGGGTTTTTCCACCTTAACCCTACTGAACAGAATCTTTGGAGGCTGGGACCCATAATTTGCAATTTTAATATCACTCCAGCTAATTCTGCTGCAATTCCATGTTTAGGAATCACTGCTTTAAACAGGAGTACTACCTAAAAAAGGAACTCTGATGACCACTAGCAGTTACACAGAAACAAAAGAGGGTTTGAGAACATACCACAAAACAGCATTACCTTGGATACGCCAGTCGAAATGTTTGCTTGTAACTTGGGAAATAATTCCATTAAAGCTTCCTGAGAAAGCAGCCTTTTGCAGCCACAGAGGGATAATCTGTGATAATAGAGATCAGCCAACAGCAACACAGATGGCTCCCATGGAAATGTTCTGTAACAAGACAGCTGTAAGACCCAACTGTACCACACATCTCAGTGTATCCAGACAATACAAACTACAGGAAATATAAAATGTAGAAGAAGGAAGTTTTTTGTGGACATTTAGCACCATTTCATAGAAGACTAATCCAGGCTCAGCAACAATGAGTGAGGTGGTCAGGTACACACAGCTAGCTGGAGGCAGAGGTGGGATTCATATGCTACTTGACCAGGTATCATGCTGCCTCTCCAATCCACAGCTGCAAATGACAGCCATGTAAAAAGAGGATGTGTAACACGGTTTGCTGCATGCCAGGCACTGAGCTAATGCACACCCCTGGGGTAGGGCAGCCCAGCTCTGAGCTCAGTCTCATGACACACCAAAGGCACAACCCTAGGCAAACTGCTTAGCCTTTGTGTGCCATCTTCATTCAGCAGGTATTTTACTGAGCGCCTACTACGTGACACTGACTTTTCTGTACACTGAGGAAACGACAAAGTTCCTATTTTCCTGGAACTTACATTTTAGTAGGGGAAGTAGCCAATAAATAATACACATGATAGTGATGAGTATGGTGGAGAAAAGTCATTGGGGAAGAACCTAGAGAGGTATCAGTGTGGAGGGGGTGGAGGGGCACAAGGCACCAGGGTGAAGGCATATGAAGAGGAGTGCTACTTGATATAGGGACAGTCATGGAATGCAGAGACCAAAAGAAGTGAAAAAGTGGGCCTGAAGGGTATTTGGAAGAAAAGCATTCTAGGCAGAGAGGACAGTGAAGCCAAATCCTAGCCTGAAGTGTGCTTTTCTACAGGAAAATCAAGGAGACCAGTTTGGCTAGAACTGAATTAGCAAGGAAGAGTAGCCGAAGGTGTCAGAAACAGCCAGGGGTTGGATCATACAGAACCCCAAGGAACCCAGTTAGGACTGTGGAATTTATTCCAAGTGAAGAGAGACACTACGGAGCAGTGTTTCTCAGTGATGTTGGCACTGCTGGCATCTGGGCTAGAACTCTTTGCTGGGGCTACCCCATGCACTGTATGCTGTGCAACAGCCCTGGCTTCTACCCACTGAACACCAGAACAGCACCCCACTCTGCTCTAGTTACGACAACCAAAACAGGTCTCCAGAACTGCCCCTAGCTGAGAAGCACTGTGCTAGGAAGTTATGAGCAATGGAGTGAATTACTGGCTGCTGGTATAGTCCAGAGAGCATAAGAACAAGGGCAAAAGCATGTAGACTTCATTAGGAGGCCATGGCAATGATCCAGACAGGAGACAGTGGCTGAGACCAGGGTGTATTCTGAAACTTTGGTTCCCTCATCTATAATGGTAACAGTACCTACACCTCCTGGAGTTGCAAGAATTAAAATTAAATAATATATACAAAGTATGCAGAACAGTGATTGGCACACAATTAGGACAATAAATGCAATTTGTTTATTATTACTGCATCTATCATACAATTTAATCTCTACATACTAAGTACTATGAATCGGGGACGTACTGACCCCACTCTGTTGTGATACGTGTGCACTTGTTTTAAACTTTTACACTCATCTTTCACTGCTTATAACAAGGACTAGAGGGTGAGAAGTTTAAATAGTCAAGAAAGAGGAATATGTAATGTGGTAAATATGGTGAAGCAAAGAAATAGGCTCCCTTCCCCCTTATCCCCTCTAAGAGTTTATTTAAATCAACTTAATCATGGACAAATGACAGCTTCACCCTGATTTGGAAATGTAAAGAGATTCTGCATTATTGCCCTAAGTCTCATAACTGGTCTCCTTTATTCCCCTAGAGCCTCTCCTCATCACAGTAGCCTAAGTGATCCTGTGCAAACTTAAGTGGTTTCCCTGACAAAAACCCTCTGAGGGCCTGCCTCTTCATTCCAAGTGAAAGTCAAGGCCCTGCGGTAGCCTGATGCTCATACACTAGCACTAGTGCTTCTACCTCGACATCCTTTTCACAATGGCCCCCTTGCTGCTTAAGCTAGGCACTCACCTCACCCCCAATGAACACCTGGGTCTGACATCCCCATGGCCCACACCCTTGCCGCTTTAAGGAAACCTGAAAGATGTTACTTTTGCGTAAGACCCTCCCTATTTAGAACCACCACTACTCTACCCTCTGGACTCTCCTATCCCCAGGCTCTGCTTTCAGTTTCTTCTCAGCACTCCACATCTTCTAACAAGCTATGTATTTTATTTCTTTACTGTTTAGTGTCTCTTGCTAGAACATTAACTCCACAAAGGCAATGAATTGGCCCAGAAGAGGGCCCAGTATGTGGGAAAAGCAAACAAATACAGACTGAATAAAATGAGTGAGTAAATTTGCCTTAAAAAGTTTGGGAATAAAATGACTAGAATAAGCAAATAACTTTACCAGATCAAAATAAATGCTTATTTTAATTGGAGGATCTAAATCAGTATTGAATTTCACTGTATGAGTATAACTCAGGTCTAAAATAGATCATAAGGATTTTTATTTTGTCCAAGATTTCACATAAACAGAGGCTTTATATATTTTATTCATTATTAAGCAAAACAGAAACACCATTTACTTACAATACTAAGTTCTTTACACGTTCCACAGGAACCAAATGAAGAAGTTCAGAAGACTCTTCCAAACTTAGCAGAGTATTTACAGCTTGGCAAAGAACAAACAAGACTCCTAAGGGTGGAAAAACAGGAAAAGCCACATTACTTACTTCTTTGATACAACTATCAAACATATCATTTATCCAATCCTTGTGATTTATAGAAAGTTCTTTAAAAGTGAATTTGTGCTTTTTAAAGAATTATCTATCAAGTGTCTAAATGTAACAGAAAGGAGCAGAAAACTTTTAGTCTTATGTTTTATCTTTCTTAGGGTAAACACATACTCAGAAAGAGAGAATGAATATTCACATGCTATTACCTAAGAGTAACACATGGGCAGGTTGGACATCCCTAATCCAAAAGCCTGAAACTTTCTGAGAATGCTATTATGTCCAAAACATTTTAGATTTCAGATTTTCAGACTAGGATACTCAAACAATAAAGTTTATGCAAATATTTCAAAATCCAAAAAACTCCAAAATTTGAAACACTTTTGGTTAATCTCAAACTAGACTCTAACTAGAATAACCTAGAACTTTTGATGAAAGTAGACTTGGACTTTTCCAAAGTCAAGTTATTTCTGTATGAAACTCATGATGATATTATTCTCCAATTTATAAGAAGTCACATATCAGGACTGGAGGACTGGCTCATGTGGTAGAGTGCCTGCCTTGCAAGCATAAGGCCCTGAGTTCTAACCCCAGCAACCACCAAAAAACCCAAAAAAGTCACATACCCAATAGCTACTAGCCAATATACATATTTAATCAATATCAATTAAACACTCATTTAATCTGTAGCCCAGGGGTCAGCAAACTATGGTCCATAAGGCAGATCTGTTAAGTAGACTGGTTGTACTTATTTGTTTGGGTTTTTTTTAGGACAGTCTTTCTTTTTCTTTCAGGGGGTAGTGGTACTGGGGTTTTGAATTCAGGGCTTCATACTTGCTAGACAGGCACTCTACCACTTGAGTCACTCCATCAGCCCTGTTTTGATTTTTTGAGATATGGTGTAGCTATGTAGCCCAAGCTGTCTCAAATTTAGCCTCCAAATGCTGAGATTACAGCAGAGTGACATCATACCTGACTGAAATCCTGCAAGCTAAGAATGTTCACATTTCTAAAGGGTTAAGAGGAAAAAAAGATTTCATTCCAGGAATACAAGGATGGATCAACATATGTTAATCCATAAATGTAATACAGTATATAAACAGAAGCAAGGACAGAAACCACATGATCCTCTTAACAGATGCAGAAAAAGCCTTTGACAAATTCCAATACCCTTTCATGATAAAAGCCCTAAAGAAACCAGAAATAGAAGGTATGTCCCTCACTATAATAAAGGCTATATACAAACCTAAAGCCTACATCATACTAAATGGAGAACAGCTGAAACCGTTCCTGCTAAAGTCAGGAATAAGACAGCATTGTCTGCTTTCTCCACTCCTTTTCAATATAGTTTTGGAATTCTTACCCAGAACAGTAAGAAAGAGCAAGAAATAAAAGAGATGCAGATAGGGAAAGAAGAAGTCAAACTATCCCTATTTGCAGATGACAAAAATCATAAACTCTTTCATCTAAGTAGCAGGATACAAAATTAACATACAGAAAGCAGTAGCCTTCCTATACACCAACAACAAAAAGACCAAGAAAGAAATCAGGGAAACAATACCATTTACAATAGCCTCAAAAACAATAAGGTACCTTGGAATAAAATTAATGAAAGAAACCAAAGACTTTTTTAATGAAAACTATAAATCACTGAAAAGAGAAATTGAAGAAGACATCAGAAGATGGAAAGACCTTCCATGCTCGTGGATCAGTAGATTTAACATTGTGAAAATGGTCATACTACCAAAAGCA